AAGGTCCCTTCCAGCCCAAACCATTCCATGATTCTGTGATTCTCTGACATCTGACACTGAAGAACAAGGTGCTGCTTCCAGAAGGAACTGGAATTTGTTGAGGTGAGCTATTCATGCATGTCCTTGACCTTCTCTCTGCCTGACCTAAGGCAATCAAAGAGCACATGGATTGCTCTCGAGGGCTCTCCAGGAACAGATCAGCACAAGTTCTCCTCCCCCAAGATATTTCTCTTCCTTTGCTACTGTAAGTCAGTAAGAGCACTAAAGGAGGTCACATCCCTGCTCTCAGGCCAGAGGGAGCCTCACCTCTGCATTCCTGAACACCTTCAGCATGTCCCCATCAAAAGCTTCCACGGTTTTGTAGTAGCCAGTCAGGATCTGCTTCTCAATGGTGGCGAGGTCCAAGGGGTCAGAGATCTTCTCGTAATAGTCTGCATTTCTACAAGGGGAACGTTGGCACAATGTCACGTTCATGAGCAATTCCAACCATGCAAATCCATCAGGGAATGCCCAGGGATGTTCTGGGAAGGCAGCACTTACTTTTTCTTTGGGGGCAGGTTCAGGAGAGGAGCTGCGAGCGCCTGCCTGGAGGAATCTGCAACAGGGACACAAAGCTTAGGGACATTCCTGGAGTAAAACTTAAAAATACAAGTGACTAACATTCAATCTGGGTTAAAAAAAGGCTTTTCTGCTAACTGAGTCACGGGAAATTAAAATGCTTCTGCATTTCTAGATGCTGGTGGCTGCAATCAGACCACAGGTATCAAAATGAAGGACAGTGTCCTTGCCACTCTGATTTTTGCTGAAATTTTGAAAAATCAGTTTTAAAATCTGCAACATCTGCAGGTTCTGGTGGCAGAGGAGGGGGTTGAGGATAAAACAAAGTGATTACAGGTAAGCAGGGAAAGAAAAAAAAAAAGAGTTCTTCAACATCCCATCTTTGTCTAGTATCTTCTACTCTGAGAGTCCGTTGTTCCAGAGGCCGAAAACGTCCCCATGGAGGTTTTTTTTTAAAGGAGTGCCAGGTTCACCTTTGTAGGATATGATGCTGTCACATATTTCCTTGAAGATCTGTGCCAGGCGGGCGGCACGAGCCACCTCGATGTTCTCCTCGGCCGCCGCCAAGCGCCGCGTGCGCACCGAGCGCGCCGTCTGCAGGGCTGAGAACTGGGTCATGAACACGTCTGGGGGAGGGCAGAAAAGAGTCACCTCTAAACAAAAAACCCACCAGAGATCAAGTCACAGCACCTCCACCCGTGGTTATTAAGATTAATTCCAGCCTTGAGCTGCTGGAACAGCACAAGGCGTCGGCTGCTGTTCCCGAGTCGGCTCTCGCTGCTCAGGGCTCAACTAAACTTAAATTTGAATCAGTTTAATCAGCTGGTTATTGGAATGTTTTATGTTGCTGGAGCAAATAAAACATGTCATTGAGTTCACCCCAAACACTCACTGCCCACCTTCTCCTGCACCTGCCTGGCTGGGAGGACGATGGTCCCACCAATGGGGCTCTTTTTGGAGCAGGGTTAGTTTTCCCCTGATAGTCGTATTTGTCCCATTCCCACAAGCGACTGCACGCCAAAAAGCTCTAAAATTATGAGGATAGATGACAATTTTCAAAGTCAGCACAACTGTTTCTGGTCTAGGGATACAGAGAGCAGGAAACAGCCCCTCTCTGTCAGTGTCCAACCACGGATGGTCACGGAATCACAGTCATGGAATGGCCTGTGTTGGAAGGGACCTCACAGATCCTCTTGTTCCACCCCCTGCCATGGGCAGGGACACCTTCCACCAGCCCAGGTTGTTCCAAGCCCTGTCCAACCTGGCCTTGGACACTTCCAGGGATGGGGCAGCCACAGCTTCTCTGGGCAACCTGTGCCAGGGCCTCCCCACCCTCACTGGGAACAATTTCTCCCTCATATCACAGAATTATATCCTAGAACCATTTAGAAAAGACCTCCAAGACCAACCTTTGGTTGATCACCACCTTGTCAACTAGACCATGGCACAATGTTAAATACCACGCTCTGACAGACCCCTCCTGATGAAACACCAGATGTGGCACCTCCTACCAGGATTCAGGAGACCCCTGAGTACTTTTCCCCGAGCAACATCCCCTGCACGTCTTACAACAGGTGTATGGATCTTGTAGTGACTCTACACCGGATTTACACAGAGATTAAACGCCAGCTGGGTTCCCAGGGCAGCCCCTGAGGAGCCTGTGTGGCCTCACCTGATTTGATGTTCCCGTCATCCCGGCAGATCCCGTTCCAGCGGGTGTACAGGGACGTGCTGTGGATGTTGTCACTGACGTGCTTCACCTCCTCCTGCTTCTGTCGGATCTTCTCCCAGTTTCGTACCAGAAATACGTGGTGTTTCAGCACAAAATTCCTACGGGAATTAGACAGGGATGCAAGGACCACTTTTTACTGAAAAATGAATTCCTTAATGCGAGGGAGAAGCTGGATATTCAGAGGTACACTCTGTGCCTTCTCTGCTCAGTGGGGAGGAACTCCAGCCTGGCTGGGGAGAGGGGAACTCAGAGCTGCATCCTCAGGCACTTCATGATGCATCAGTGTTTGCTCAACACTCCATTTCTGAGGCCAGTCCCCCAGAAACCCTCCCTTACCTCTCCCTGTTGGACATGGGCTTCATCTGCAGCTGAGGGGTCAGCCTGGTCGGGGCATTCACACTTTCACTGGGCTCCTCAGGGATGTGGCCCCTCTGGAAAACAGATGGTTCTGATAGACAGGAAAAACTGTGCCAAGAGCTCAGCAAAGCACTCAGAGCAGTCCCTGAGACAGAACCTGCAGCACTGCTCTGCTGCATGTACAGATACACCAGTTTTTGGTCTGATGGCACAGACTGATTTCCCATTAACCTCTACCCACCCAAACTCTGTCTTTAACACTTACCCTCTTCTTTAATTTGTGCTTTGACTTCCTCTTCTCTTTCGACCGTCCAGGCCTTCTGTGGGTGCTCACAGGCTGGTTGCTCTTGCTTGAAAGTCCATTCATGCGTTGACTTTTCCCCCCAATTATCCCTCTGCATTTGTCAAAGCCACATTTGCAGAGTTGCTTGGGGGGGGGGAGAGAAAAAAATAAATTAAATAAACCCCCAAACATTTTGATTCTCCCTCAGTATTCCAAAGAACCTTTTCTGCCAAATACAACGCGACAGGTTTTGTTAACGGACCTTCAGCTTTACAGAACTGTTGGTCCTTAGTGACATCTTTTTTAAGGTGTCCCTGTGGGATCTTTACCTGCTTTTCAACGTTAAAGGAATGGAAGTTGTAGTCGTAGGTCAGCTCAGTCCCAGCAGGCATGTCCTTGAGTGCATAGAGCCCGATCCGATAAACGCCGTTCACGGACCTGCAGGGAAAACACCAGCAAAGATTCCCAAGGATTTCACCTCAAATCCTCTCTGTCCACACAGTGGGAGTGTCAGAGACAGGAAGAAACACTCCTGCTGAGCCCTGGGTCGTGCCTGTTCTTCACCTGTACAGTTCTCTCATTTATCTGGTACAATAAACCCTGAAGGCCAAAAAGTGAACACGACATTTACAAAGAGGAGGAAGTTGTGCTTTCAGGGAAAGCTACAAACTGTTCTGGCTATCACAAGAAATCAACTTGTCCACTGCCAGCACTCAGGCCCCCCCTCCAAGACTGAAATCTTACACTGAGCATCAAACTCATCTCAAAATCACAGAATCACAGAATGGTTTGGGTTGGGAGGGACCTGAAGCTCATCTCGCTCCACCCCCTGCCATGGGAAGGGACACTTTCCACCAGCCCAGTTTGCTCTAAACCCCATCCAACCTGGCCCTGGACACTTCCAGGGATCCAGGGGCAGCCACAGCTTCTCTGGGCAACCTGTGCCAGGGCCTCCCCACCCTCACAGGGAGGAATTTCTTCCCAATATCCCATCTGACCCTGCCCTCTGTCAATTTGAAGCCATTCCCCCTCGTCCTGTCCCTCCATCCCTTGGAAACAGTCTCTCTCCATCTTTCCTGTAGCTCCTGCAGGCACTGGAAGGTCACAATCAGGTCACCCCAAAGCTTCTCTTCTCCAGGATGAACAATCCCAACTCTCCCAGCCTTCCCTCCCAGCAGAGCTGCTCCACCTCTGATCCCCTTGGTGCCTCCTCTGGACCTGCTCCAACAGCTCCATGTCCTTCCTGTGCTGAGACCCCAGAGCTGGAGGGAGGACTCGAGGTGGGGTCTCTCACCAGAGCAGAGCAGAGGGGCAGAGTCCCCTCCCAATTCTTTCATTCATTTTGTGTTGGATTTTCAAATTTAAAACTTGATTACTAGTGCTTAAATCCACCAGAATTATCTGGGAAACACGAGCTACTCTGCTGCCTGTCCCCACAGTGATTCCTGTGACCACCATCTGCTACTTCCCTGTAAATCATTCACTACAAATCCCTCAGCACTTATTTCCTCCTAGTCTGGCCCTGCATTTCACACTGCAGTGTTGATAACCTGTGCACAGAAGAGAAAATGCCACTAGACCAGTGCTGGTGTGACACAGGCTGTGCTGCAATCACACTGTTTCCCTCTTTGCCTGTGTTAAAAAATATTTGAACTGCCAGGAGGAAAGAATATACACACATAGAGGAGCTGACAGTGTTACCTGGCCTTCAACATTTGCAGTGTGACAACCAGCAGTGCTGGGCTTGCTTTGCCAGAAAACTTAGACCTTGTTTGCAAAGCCCTTGCAAACACTCCACAACAACCCCCTGCAGTGCTACAGGCTGGGGACAGAGAGGCTGGAGAGCAGCCAGGCAGGGAGGGACCTGGGAGTCTGGATGGACAGGAAGCTGAACAGGAGCCAGAGTGTGGCCAGGTGGCCAAGAAGGCCAATGGTATCCTGGCCTGGATCAGGAAGAGTGTGGCCAACAGGTCCAAGGAAGTGATTCTTCCCCTGGACTCAGCCACCCCTGGAGTGCTGTGTCCAGTTCTGGGCCCTCAGCTCAGGAAGGACATTGAGGTCCTGGAGCAGGTCCAGAGAAGAGCAACAAGGCTGGGGAAGGGACTGGAGCACAAGTGCTGTGAGGAGAGGCTGAGGGAGTTGGGGTTGTTCAGCCTGGAGAGGAGGAAGCTCAGGGGAGACCTCCTCACTCTCTACAACTCCCTGACAGGAGGGGGGAGCCAGGTGGGGGTTGGTCTCTTTTTCCAGGCAACTCTCAGCAAGACAAGAGGGCACCAAGACAAGAGGGCTCAGGGTCTCCAGCTGTGCCAGGGGAGGTTTAGGTTGGACATTACAAAGAATTTCTTTGCAGAGAGGGTGCTCAGCCATTGAAATGGGCTGCCCAGGGAGGGGGTGGATTCTCCATCCCTGGAGGTGTTTAAGCACAGACTGGATGTGGCATCAGTGCCATGGGCTGGGAACCACGGCGGGGTTGGCTCAAGGGTTGAACTTGATGACCTCAGAGGTCCCTTCCAACCCAGCTGATTCTATCATTCTATCACTCTAAGGTCCGAGGATTATTTACACCCCTCCCCTCCCTGCTTTGAGCTCAGCCTCCCTCAGCTGACCCGGTTCTCTCAGCCCGGGTGTCCCGGGTTCCCCGGGGAGCAGAGAGCCCCCCGCTCACCATTTCTGCATCTCGCAGTTGGGGTTGCAGCTGTGGTTGATGAACCGAGCCTCGTTGCCCATGCGGTAGCTGTCGATGACCATCCCGCTGTCCAGGTTCAGGCAGTAGTGGTCACTGTGGTTGTGGTACTGCTCGATCATCCGGTTCCTGCCGGGTGACACAGGGAGCACCCCCTCACTCTGCCTGTCCCCACCCTCGGCAAACGGGGACTGACACAGCGAGAGCGCGTTCGGGAGTTCTCAGAGGGGGTTTGGAAGGATAAAAGCAACGGTAACGTTTTATATTTTATAAGAGCCGTACACCTAGAGAGGGAGGAAAACCATGATTGTACCTATTTTTATAAGTCAAGGCCACTGACAGAGCTTGGGTTAGAATTTTAGAAATTTGCTCTTCTGGAATGCTCCCTTTTGGGTTCTGCAGATTATGTGTACACATTTCATGGTGATAACCTGTGTATGGAAGAGAAAATGCAAGTATACGTTCTTTGGGGTGTCTGTGTATGCACGTGGACAACAACCAGCTGCTTCCTGGGGGCTGGACAGTTTCTGGAATCACATCCATGGATCACAGGAGCACAGTGACAGGAGTCAGTGTTAGTGGTTATCTCTGTATGAGGAGACTGCAGCTGCCTTCTGGTGGAGCTCTGAGAGCAGCAGGTGCCTCCAACCTCAAATATCCCACGATGCTACAGAGTGAACAAGACAATTTCTTTCTTTCATTGGTTATTAATGCTCCCACTTGGTTTTTTTTTTAACTTCACACCCACCTGCAAAAGCCCATGTCCCTTCCAGCCCCGCTCTGCCCCTCAGTTGTACCTGGCACAGTCCAAATCCTGCACAGTTCTCATTTAGGATTCACAGTCACTCGCAGCATTTCACATTTACAGGGCAGAGGAGGCACAGAATTCATTCCAAACACTCACCACTCCTCTCCATTGGACTGAGAAAAACTTGACTGATCCAAAAATGGGAATTCTAAGCCTCCCTTCTGGCTGTGACCAGAACAGGATTCCTTCTCCCCCACTTTGTTCCTGTCTAAGGATACCCCACCCCCTGACCACAGATGCCAAAGTCACTCATTGAGCCTTCCACGCCAAAGCAGCAAATAAATATTTCTACCTGAATTCTTGCTCACTAACAACTTCTCCCAGATATTCAATGATAAACTGTCCTGCTTTCAGGGGCTCTTTGGTACGAATACCCCATCCTTTCTCCTCGGCCCGGAACCTCTCCAGGCACTGCACCCACTCGTGCCTCTGGATCCGCTGGTTGCAGCACTGCTCCCCACAGGGGCACGTGTTGGGGGAACACTCTGCAAAGATCATCCTGAAACACACAACAGGGAAGGGAGAGAGCACGTTCTGAGAGCTGGAAAAGGCAGAAATCAATAATAACAAATGAAACAAAAGGTATTGAAGAACTAGAACGCTTTTTGTTTTCAAGGTGTAATTCCTGCAGCGATTCCCAGCCTGGCTCTCGCTGATATTCAAAGGGCAAAATGGAGCTTTTAATGGGATCTTCCTCTGGAGAAGAGGGGGATTGTTAATTTTAAAGGGATTGTTTCTCTGGCAGTGCTGAGGAATCCCCTGGAGCAGGGAGCTCAGGCTGGGGGGTGTCAGTGGGACCCCCAGATGCTCAGACTGGGAATTTTTCCTCCCAGCAGGAGGAAGGAGCCTGGACCCCCCTGACGATGCCTTTCCTGCTGGGGTTGCATCCAGCACAACTCTCTTCCTAAGAGATGATGTGAAATAACCCAAGGAAGCCATTCTGACCTGTTCAGACAATCCTCCACACAGCCCTTCCCACTGTCATCCTCTGGTTTCTTACAGTTGCAGGTGGTGGCCTCATAGCCAGAGAGGGGTTTGACATCCACGTAGACATCTGCAGGAAAAAAAAGAGAAAGAAAACAAACCCAAACAGGGAAAAGAATTCTTCCCAGGTGAAAAAAATCAGAACTGCTTATCTACAGTATTTTCATTTCAATTAAATAAAGCAAAGAAAAAAAACAAAGGCAGGTGGAAGTGACTTTGGCAGGACAAAGAGCAGGACAGAAAGGAGGGAAAATTCCACAATTAACAGTTTAGTAATAAGATTTTACTTACTAGAACGGATTTTTTTGTAAAGTGGGACATCTGGCTTTTTATACAACTGAAAGGAAGAGAAAGAAAATTTTAATACATTGCATAAGTGCATCTGTTATTCAAAAGGATCAGGGAAATGATGTTCTGTACATTGGGAACAGTTCTGTAATCATTCCTAGAAATCTGCATTCTCTTCCCTAGGCTCAGACTGCATTAGCAAATAGGTCACAAAAAGGATGTGAATAACTAGAACCTGGGTTTAATGAGACAGTGGAGCAGTTTGTCCATCCCATGGCTTGTTCTGTGTGCCCAGAGCTGTCCCAAGGACAGGCTCCTCTGGACAGGGCTGGAGAGAAGAGCAATTATTTAAATCTACTTTGGGGGAACCATCTTTGGTTGAGTCACCACGTGCCAACGCTTGAAAAAGTGAAGTAGAAAAATCAAGGTGCTTGTCAAAGGTACCCAATGATCTCAAGGGTCTTTTCTCATCTAAGGGATTCTCTGAACACTGTGAGTACAGGTGGGAGAAATGCAGATTCATCTTCTCATCAGAGGAACTTCCTCTGCAGATGGAGATGGCAGGAGGGAAAAGGGAAGCTTACACCACAATTCACAATAATTTCAGATATATTCCAGCCTTTCAGACAAGTTTTGAGGAATAATTTCCAATTATTGCCCGTTTCACACACATTTCCTGCACTAAGAGCCCTCCCTCAGTCACACACAGGCACGACCCTGACACCTCCACACCCCTGCACAGAGAAACTCCTCTGCAGGGGCCTCTGACATTCCAGGGAGAGATGGGAAATGTCAAGAAAACAAATTCCATGTATTTATTATTTATGGAATACCGAGCAGATGAGACAGGCAGATGTAACTCAGTGTCAACACACGGCAAGGAAGTGTCCTCAGCTGAGGTGTCCCCAAGGCTCCTCCTGACTTGAGGATCAGATTCCAGGGACCACAACACCTGGGAATTTGTCCTGCTAATTTACATGCTCAAGTTACACATCTGAGAGCACTTTCTTGCCACAGAGCCAGGGACAGATTCCCCCCACCCCCAGCCTCAAATCCTGTGGTTAAATCGCTCGGTGGAAACTTCTCGGGGGGAAAAACAACCAAAAAACCCTCCTATTTTTAGGCTCGCCCATATTTAAAGCTCTTTTAAAGGGAACGAGCCCGTTCAACGGCTCCTCTTCTTCCCTCAGCAGGAAAATTTCAGCTTGCAAGTGAAAAATAAATTCCACTCTGCTGGGATCCATCCAAGAAAAATAAGGGCTGAGATTCCTCCGAGCTGCTGGCAGAACACCCGAATCCTCCCGGGGCGTGTCTGGAACCAGCTCCCTGCACGAAGCAGCGCCGCCAAAATAAGAGTCGGCAGCCAAATTAATGACTTTTGCCAGCAGAAACTCCCGGGATTTGCTATTTTGCAAGAGATGGAATAATGGGAATTATCCACATTAAACACAATATGCAAATCCTTTCTCTCCTCGCACAGTGGCAGCAACAAGATATTCCCCAGCAGGCAGGATGTGCAAACACGGCTCTCGTGCGCTGCCGCTTCCTTTCTAAGACTTCTGATCCCAATCTTGGCAACCCTGGTGGCTTTTTATCTCCTACCTGGTTGTGTTTCCACTGCCAGAGGATGTCGTAAGGCAGCTGGAAGTCAATTCTCTTTTGTCTGAGGTACTTTCCTGGAACAGAAAGGTTGGTAAGTGGCACACACTCATCTCCACGTGTCCCCGGAGAACGGGAGCCGCTCCAGGCACCCGTCCAGGGTCTGACAGGGCCTCTGGAAGGGACACAGGGGAGCAGAAGCCTCCCAGAACATTCTGTCTGTCAGGGCAGGCCCGGGGAAGAGCCTCTGTGTCTGTGTTCTGCTCTCCTGCCCTGCTCAGGTGGGACCTGCCATGGACAGGCAGGGAAGGTGTTGGCTCAGATCCGACCACAGCCCTGGGCAGGGACAACAGCACCTGGCAGGAGTGACCACAGCACTGAGAGAACTGACCTTAACACCTGACAGAACTGATCACAACACCTGAGAGAACTGACCTTAACACCTGAGAGAACTGACCACAGCACCTGAGAGAACTGACCACAGCACCTGAGAGAACTGACCACAGCACATGACAGAACTGATCACAGCACTGAGAGAGGTGACCACAGCACCTGAGAGAACTGACCACAGCACCTGAGAGAAGTGACCACAGCACATGACAGAACTGACCACAACACCTGAGAGAACTGATCACAGCACCTGAGAGAACTGACCACAACACCTGAGAGAACTGACCTTAACATCTGAGAGAAGTGACCACAGCACCTGAGAGAAGTGACCACAGCACCTGAGAGAACTGACCACAGCACGTGACAGAACTGACCACAGCACTGAGAGAGGTGACCACAGCACCTGAGAGAACTGACCACAGCACCTGAGAGAAGTGACCACAACACCTGAGAGAACTGACCACAGCACATGACAGAACTGACCACAACACCTGAGAGAACTGACCATAACACCTGAGAGAACTGACCACAACACCTGAGAGAAGTGACCACAACACCTGACAGAGGTGACCACAGCTCTGCAAAGAGACAACAGCTGGCACAACTGACCACAGCCCTGGGAAGGGACAACAGCACCTGAAACAACTGACCACAACACCTGAGAGAAGTGACCACAGTCCTGGGAAGTGACAACACCTGACAGAAGTGACCACGGCCCTGGGAAGTGACCACAACACCTGAAAGAAGTGACCACAGCCCTGGGAAGTGACCACAACACCTGAGAGAAGTGACCACAGCCCTGGGAAGTGACAACATCTGAGAGAAGTGACCACAGCCCTGTGAAGTGACCACAACACCTGAGAGAAGTGACCACAGCCCTGTGAAGTGACCACAACACCTGAGAGAAGTGACCACAGTCCTGGGAAGTGACCACAACACCTGACAGAGGTGACCACAGCCCTGGGAAGTGACCACAACACCTGACAGAGGTGACCACAGCCCTGTGCCTTCTCCATGAGACAGCCCAAGGCTGACAGGTCCCCCTGAACTCTCCTGTGCACAACCCAACGCTTCAGCACAGGACAAAAGCTGCTGCCCTGCCCCAGCACGATGGTAAATCCCAACACTGCACTCAAAGAAATCAAATCAGTTTTAAAAATAGCCTCCAAGCCTGTTCCTGTGACCTTTACCAGAAGAGATTTAAGAATGAATTCAGACTTGGCAAACACATTCCCCAATGTTTTGGAAAGGCTTCAAGATGCTCTGTATTTTCAGCAAGAACTGAAACTGTTTCAGACAGAAATCGGTGCTTTCACTGAGGATTCTGGCTCTGCTCTGACATTCCCTGTCACCCCAAAAGGACCCTGACCCATGACATCATTCATTCCAGGCCCCAGGGCTGACACTGCTGAGTTCTAGCCAAGATTAAACATTCTCTGATCGTTTTGCTGGAATCCTGTGTCCCAAAACTGCAGTGAGCAGGATGAGGTGTCACTCCCAGGTCTGATTTTCCCAGCTTTTCTCACTCTCAACAAGTGCCTTTATGTTCCTCCAGCAATGGTTCCATATAAATTCACACGCACACCCTCTCCACTGGAAAATAAAAATGGTAATGTTTTCCTTACAATTCTCCCCTAAATTACTTTTCATTTTCAATGCCTTATTCATCCCTAGCAGGTTCCAGGAAAGAGCTAAATCTGCTGGGAATTTGCTTTCACTTCTGTGACCTCAGCAGCCCAGACAAAGGGCTCTTTCAGGTGCCCTGGCACCGAGCCTGGAGCAGGGGAAGGTCCCTTTCCCCCCCTCAAGTGCAGGCCCCTGGCAGAGTCCCAAAGCTGGCCACTGCTCCGGGGTTAAACCATCCCCAGTGCCCTGGATGGAGCCCTGGGAGCAGCTCAGTTCCAGGGCAGGAGCTGGAATGTGGCAGCAGCACAAACACTGGGAATCCTGTCACATCCTGGCCACGTGAAGGTTTGATGACCCCCATTCCAGCAGGAACTGACAGAGGGCAGGTTTTGGAGAATGTTGAGAATTTTAATTACCACCTTGAGCTCTGAAACCTGTTCTGTGGTCCCTGATTCACACAGATCTGGCCAACTCTTCTGCCTCGCTGGGAGAGCCAAAGTTGTGCGTGGAGCAAAACTTCTCAGCTAAGGAAGACAAGCCAGTGACATGTGAGTGTTTGGTGGGACAAATATTCCTGCTGAACAAAGTGGAATGTCCCAAACTTGCCTGGCATGATGGGACTTGCAGCAAGAAACCACAGCACTTCAAAAGCTGAAACAATCACCTGAGAAGTTACTCAACCTTGATTCATCCTGGGAAATGATGGGAGCTGCACTTTGGGAGCTCAGGGAGATCCCATCCCTGGGAGCAGCATCCCAAGCTCCAGCAGCTCCAAGTGCCTGGGTTGGAGTTGGGTTACAGCTTCTTTCCACAGGCACTTCCCTGGAAATGTCCTGGAGCAACCTGGGCCAGGGGAAGGTGTCCCTGCCCATGGCAGGGGGTGGAACTGGATGAGCTTTGAGGTCCCTTCCAATCCAAACCATTCCATGATTCTGTGATTCCGTGAAACCCTAAACCCCGTTTTTGTCCTACCCAAAACCTAAGAATGGGGATAAAATAAAACCCTAGATAATAGCAAAGCTTTTCATTCTTCCACCCTTTTATCCATGTTTAAGGTCAGACACAGGGACCTGTGGGAATTTATTATTCCATGCTCAGCTTTTTGGATTTAACAAAGGGTCATAATTGTCTCTGGCTACTCTGCTGCAGTTTTACTCTGAGGAGGAGACTCTTGCTCTGCATTTCATCAAAGGGTTATCACAGGTTTGAAAACCTGCATTTTCTGATACACCAAAAAATGAAAACAAATAAAATCAAATGAAATCAAAAATGAAAACAAAGCTCACGTGGCAAGTTAAACAAGAGCCTCCTGAGCTCCAACTTTTGCACCGAGGAGCACAGAGGGATGAGTGTGGCCCTGGGCAGAGTTCAGGGGTGACCAAAAGGATCACAAAGAGAGAAGAGGGAGAGAGCAGAGAGTTGGGCAGTGCAGGGGATCCCCCCCTCACCCCAACAACCAAATCCCCCCCAGGTACCCACCGACGTGGATGGGGGCAGGGAACAGCCCGTGCTCGTGCTCTCCAGGGGTGTATTCCAGCTTCTCCTTCTTCAGCTGGATCAGGCGGCTCTTGGGGCTGCGGGTGACAGGGACACAACACAAACATCACAACGGGCAACAAACGCCTGCCCCTGGCAAAGGACACAGGTCAGTTCTAGTTAAAGGACGTTCAGTGTTTCAGTCGAGTCTGGGACATCGGGCAAGGGAATAACAACAGAAACAGCCCCCAAAAAACTGACTGCCAGGGTGCTTGTGAAACACACTGAGCACAGCCCTTCCACAAGGGGATTTTTATCTTTTATTCTTTGTTTTTCTCTTTTCTTCTTCTTTTCCTCTATTTTTTCTTCTTTCCTCTTTTTCCTTCTTTCCTCTTTTTTTCTCTTTTTTCTTTTTCTTTTTCTGTTTTTTTATTTTCTCTTTTTTCTTTTTCTCTTTCTCTTTTTTCTTTTT